TATACTATTTCTACTAATTACACTTTCTAATCGATATACTATTTCTACTAATTACACTTTCTAATCGATATACTATTTCTACTAATTACACTTTCTAATCGATATACTATTTCTACTAATTACACTTTCTAATCGATATACTATTTCTACTAATTACACTTTCTAATCGATATACTATTTCTACTAATTACATTTCCTAATCGACATGTACACATGCAAACTTAGCAGTAATAAAGAGCAAAACGTATCCAAAATTGGTGAAATTCATTTACTTCCTAAAGCTTTCACTAAATATTTAGCAGCAAATATAGCAAGCAGAAAAAAAAATTTACTAAAAAGTAAAAATTAAAATTTACCCTAATTTTTTAACTATCGATCGAATAATACTTCAAATCATTTTATTCGATGTTAAGATTCAAAAATGCAAAAAGTCCATTTGCTGGTATTTCAACTTGACTTCAAACAAACATTTGAAAAGAGCTTTACTACCCTCGGAAAAGACAACGTGGGAAAGGCAAATAGGCGGTATTGTGAGGTACAGTTCTTTCTGCGTTTTCTTTTCTCCTTTGCAACTGCTTTCACATATTTCGTCAGTGAAAGTAATAACGTTGTGGAAATTTAATATTCAAATTTAAATTAGTTAAAAGTAATTTACACAAAATTAGTTAATGAACACAAACTTAATGGTTGGCACAAGATGATAACAAATGAAATGCTATCAAAAACTAAAAATCATATCAAAAAGCATAGAAAACTGCTGCATAAACAAAATTAATAAAAAGAAAAATAATTAAAATTAATAACAAAAATACACAGACAATAGAAAAAACAAGGGAATAAATAATTAGCAAAAATTAAATTAGCAACGATAAAAACGAATCAATCAGCAACGACACGAAAGTATAAAATAAAATTAATTTCACTATTCTCAAAAAGTTAGAAATTACAATGGGTACAGAAATAATTCCTTACTACTACCAGTTATTAGAAAAAAAATATCATAAACATCTGTTTGATATGGTAAATGCAAACAATAATTAAATTGAAATAATATTAAAAGCAGTCGTAGTTTTGCAAAATTTATTCGTTAAATTTCATACTGTCAACATATGCATTGTGTTATTAGGATCACAGCAAAAGTAATGAAATTATAGAAAATAAAAAAAAAAAAAAAAATGCGACTTTTACTTTAATCAGAAAAGTAAAGGAGTGGTCATTGGCTATCACTCGAAATATTATGGCAACTTTAATGCCATCAATAAATTCTTGAAAATTCCTTTGTTCTACTTATTGTGAGACCACTCACAGGCGGTATTACTGCTTTTGCATGTTTCGGTGTTCACTAACTTAAGCACCGACATTTTTATCTTTTACATATTAAACTTTAATTCTTATGGCTTACTTTCTTATTTTATTTATGTTAATTATAGTTGTCGTTTGTTTACAATTTTGTTTTTCATCTTTTCTTTTTATTGCTTTTTTTTTGCAGTAGAACAAAGAGTTTTATCCGCAATGGATTTATTTTTAACCTATGGTTAATTTATGGTTTGAAGTTTCCTATGGTTAATTTATGGTTTGAAGTTTCTTGTCCTAATTTCTTTGAAGATTTTGTTTTTGAAAAATTTACAAAAAAAAATTTTTTAAATTTACTTTCTTTTTTGTAGTAGGTAACTCGACTTTTTTCCTATTTTTCTATTAAATTAGCTTTTTTTTGAAAAAAAATTTTTTTTGCTTGCATTTATTATATTATATTATTATTTTATTTTACGAAAGCTTCGCTTATTTTATGCATTATGTTCATTAAATCTTAATTCTCGAAAGTTTTCCCTAAATATTATTTCTTTTCATTTTTTCTTCTCTTTTTTTTTTTTAAATTTTTTAAAGCTTGTTTTCTTGCTAATGTTCAGTTTTTTTCTCACAGCCTGCACTTTTTTACTGCATTAATTGCATTTTTTTTTATTCTGTCATTTTTAATTTTTTAATCTCATTCATTGAGTGCATTTTTGGCGTCATTTAGTACTAAAAATATTGATAGTTAGACATCAAAAACTAATGCAAAACCGTTTAGCAAGGATGCTTATAAGACTTTTCTAATATTGAATGTTTCAAATCTAATGAATCTGAATGCAAATAGCAGCAAGTGATGAGAACAAAGGAAACCAAAATTTAAAAAAAAATACATTAAAGCACAAAAAAAAAACATAAAACTGATAAAAAAACTATTTGTCATCCACTTGCTATTATTTTCTACCACTTTTACTGCCACTTCTTGTTATTTGCAACCACTTGCGACCACCTGGTATACGTTGTGGTTAATGCGGGAACTGCTTGACAGCTTAAATAATAAAAAAAACATTAATAATTATGTTTTGGTAGCGGAATTAGTAAAATTTTTAATTAGTCATAGTTTTAATTCATTCTTGCAATTAAAATTAACGTTTAAGTACTAGAACTTTTTAATAAAAAAAAATTTTTGATCCGATTTACATAGAAAATAGCGCGATTTATCATTTTGCATAAACTGAAATGAAATTTATTTATTGACTTAGTAAATACTATTTTAAATTACTATTTAAATACTATTTCACATACCGTTTTAAATTTATATACTGCATCTTCATTTCTTTAATACTTAAGTTCATATTTGAAAAAAACCAAAATTCACTTTTCAAAACAGGAGAAAAAATTTCAGCAGTACATTTTCGTCAAACAGTATCCCTGAATTTTAAATTCTTCATGAATATCAGAAAGTAAAAGTATAGAATTTTCCTTTATGCCTTCGTTAGCTCGTTCGCCAATTGTCTCTGGAAAACTTCGGGAAAAAAAGTTCTTCGTAAACAATAAAATAACCTACTGATAGCTTAAAAATGTTTTAAATGCCCAAAAAATTCCTTAAATCATGCTTTATAATTTAAAATCATACCCTAAATCTTAAATCACGTCAATGCCTCAAAAATTAATGAAATAATTGCCAAGAATTATATTTTAAATTAAGTGTAGTTATTAAATTAATGATTTATTACAACAACAACAACGACAACAAATGATGCGTCAACCGTCTTACAATCGATCGCTAAATCAGGATTTGTTGATATCGACTGAAAAAGATGAATTTAAATATTACCAGCCATTTTTGAAACAAGGATAGCGGCATGAGACATATTACCTAACTATCGGGATATTATCCATTACCATTAACATATTCTTTGGGTCAATGATCTCTTTCGGGTCACATCCTGAATGATCAGGATGATCTGTGTAACATACAAAGATCAATCGAAAAGATCTCTGACTGACTGTTAATTCAAACATGCTAACAGTAATTTTCAAACGATGATACTATTTTATAATCCATCGAGAGTAGCAATAAAATATATTGAATAATTAAAATGATAATCTATTCACTTGCACTAAGTATATCATTTCAAATAGAGTTGTTTAACATGTCAATACAGTAGCATTATGCTTAAACCAAGCATATATTAGCATAATTCCAGTGAAATCTAATGAGCGACAATCGAGAAGGTCATCGTTACTAAATCATAATATTGAATTATGGGAGGAAATCTCGGAGAGAGCATTTTTCCGCGATATTGACAACAAAATTTGAATTTTAATATATTATGCAAATGTTTTCATTGATTTTTATCTCTGTCCGTATTTTAACACTGTTAGTTACAATTATCTCATTTTAAAAATGAATAAATTAACAATAAGTATGCTTTCTTTTTCTATTAATATGAATTTTTCCCGGTTTTTGGAAAAAACGAAAACCAATCTTAGTATACTATAGTAAATTATGAATTGGAAAATTCTGATATAAATGAATCAAACTTTTTTAAACAAAAATTACTGTCAACTGACTGTGTGGAAACCACCGATAGCAATATTATAACATACAACATAACAAGTTAAAGTTACTAATCATATGGTAAATGACCTATCGAATATTTTTCCACTTTCAAAATATTCTGCTTCTGTGCATTCATCTCATTTCACAAAAATATTCTCATCAGTATGCAATCACAACCAGGTTTTGTTCAAAGGGTATTTCGAATCAATTGCATTAAAATTTAAATGATATGAAGTGTCGAAGTCGAATTTCAGGAATAAATTTTCGAAAAACAAACTATTTTTGATAAGTGATTTTTTCACATATAGCATTTATTTCTTTTAATTAGAATCTGAATTAATATTAGTACTGAATTGTTCTCACAAGGAATGCTTAAGTATATCAACGATACTATTTGTTTTTCTTTCTTCCATTAGTTATCTCACGGTGATTTTCAGAAATTTACCTTTTCTCTTGCTGATATTTTCAAGGAAATGCAGAAATTGCTTATAATCTTTTAGCAAAACTTTATTTCATTCAGTCTTACAACATCAAAATCGGCTTTTTCTCTGTTCTGAAAAATAACCTTTAGATATCATATCTTCGCTAAAGACAATATTTGGATTCAATTACAGCCATAATCACCTCAAGTTATTAAGCAGTAATTTACAAGTAACCAAAGAAGTGAGCAATTAATTCAGTAATTAAATTCTTCTTTTTAATCGTGTAATATTCTTCGCTTCCATATGGTAATTTCATTTCTTAATTTGAAATTAGAATTAATGATAACTTAAAGTATCTCATTTAAAATTAAAATATTAACTGAAATTGAAGCTCTTTCAATTAATTTCAAAATTCAGAACAACGAGAAAGATTATTCACTGATAACATGATTGTTTGTTATTACTGCATTGTTGCATTATTTCTAATATCACCTCTAAACTGCCATGAAGGAAATACGACAAATGTATTTGACATAAGAGACGAACAGCATATAATTATAAAATATACAGTAGTTGCGATCACTCTTTTTTTCGTGCTATACGGTATTATTAGCAACATTCTAATGATTACCGTATGCTACAGTCGGAACAATCTTTACAGTCGTCCATTTATCCTTATTGTATCCCAAATTATTATTTCTAATTTAGTGAGCTTTATTCCATATATGATTATTCTGTTGCCTGGAATATTATTGAATAAAAAATATGGTAAGTAGACTTTTTTATTATTATTTATAGGCAAAATTTAAAAAAAATAAAAGATTAGCCTATTATTGATAAATAAAATAGTATCACCTGACTGATAATATTATTTGGGAATTTATTTGAGAAACTACATTAAAATTTTAAATTTGTTTTCATAAACTATTTTGTCTAATTTCATAGCCTACAAAATGGCGTGGATGAACGACGTATTCTGCAAGGTCCGTACATATTCAACTATCGCTATGGTATATTTTTCATTTTTGTTGACGCTGAATCGCTTTATAGTCGTAATTTTACCAAAGTACAATGTACTTTTCCAGTCAACAAAGCTGTATTTCTTACTTCTTCTTATGTGGATGATATCTTTTGGTATGATATATTAAATTTTACACAATATTTTAAATGATTTTTCTACTTATAAGTAAGTAGCTTTTGGAAATTGACGATTGTTCATTCTGGGCGATTTTCTTTCATGCCTACATCTTATCAATTTTTGGGAGACATTTTAATTCAACATCCTGCTCCTATTTTATTACTGTAATTATAAATACAATTATGAATTTATACCTACCACTGAGTTTTAATTTTCAGCAACTTCATTTGCTGATTTTTATTTCTGTGCGAGAGATTTCCAAGTTTCTACTTTGCACTGCTCAGAAGATTATACAAAACGCTCAGGCGGAAAACTTTTTAATCAGTTAGATTTAAGCACTTTTTTAATTTTTTACAGCAAAAAGCTCCAGAGTTCAATTATAAGGAAGCATCAAAACTTTATACTGCTTCAAACAATAAAATGATATTTTAAACTTTTCCTGTGACTGTAACAAGAAATCAAATACCACAGTCATTTCAATTTCCTCTATGATTAATTAAAATCCATTAATTAGTTCTCATCAGTTTTCAGTTTTCTTATTTTTTTGGGGCTATTTCTATCCATTGCGATAATTATAATGTACTCAGCAATTACTTGCAATATACGCCGTCGTTTTATATCAGTTAATCATGAAACACGAAGTTGGTGATAACAATGATCGCTTTTTTCTTTTTTTTCAAAATAGCATTTTAAGATTTTTTTATCTCCATAACATATTGGAAACAATTTTTGGTAGTTCTAAATTTACTCAAACAATTTCAAAATTTACTTTTCTTTTACACTTTTCTTCATTGTTCATCTCAAATTAAATATGAAATTTTAGAAACATTTGCGATAAAAACGGGACCTAAAACATATACTTTGAGAACTGCGAAATATGAACGATCAATGTTAATTCAAGTAGGATTAACTTCTGGCGGATTAATATTTGGAATTGTAATATTCAGCATTGTGCCATTGGCAAAAATTCTCGGTCAAAAAAGCTTAATTGTAGTAAACATTTTCCAATGTTTCTATATCATTTTATATCGTTCTACATTACCAACAGCTTTTTTCTTAACCAACGAACGTGCTCGTAAATTTTTGAATACTAATGTAGTAAAACCTATCCAAATTCTTACCAAACAAGTTACCAGGTAAAGATATTTCACGTAAACCTAATTTAAAGCGTAACGTCTCTTAATATGTTTCAAATATCACTGATAATTCTTTCTAAATGTTAGATGCATCAATACATGGTCCTTTGAGTATTATCATAGCAATGTAATAAAATTTGTATCATTAGTCTTGTTTCAAATTTATTTGTAATTAATGGCAATTGGTTAAACTGACAATTCCCATGAAATTTTAAAGCAATAAGCGATGTTTTAAGGCAATTTTATTACCATTCGAAGATTTGTCCATTGTTGTCGAATTCAGTGCTTTTTTGACACAATCAATTATCGTAGATTTTTCTATTAATTGAAATATTAATTGAAAGGTTAACTCCGAATCGAAGATAATAGAAACTGGATTTGTATGACAAATCTAAAATAGACTTATAAATTTACCATATGACATACGGATCTCATAAGTGATAGGCAATTATAATTTCTAACTTTTTTAGAATAGTGAAATCATTACATATGAGCGTATGGAATTTAAAATGGAAAAAACTGATTTGCACATTAATAACAAAATGGTGCTGAATCTGTTCATTTTCGATGTTTATTATCATATTGTCCACTTTAATCATCGAAATAGAAAGTATATAAATGAAATAATTTTGTGAAGCTAATTTGAATCGATTGTTTACGATTTACTGCAATCATTAAAAATAATCTGCAAACTGCTCATTTCATTGTCAGTCTTATCGAAAATGTAATTAAACTCTTTTCTATGCATGCGAATTGCATTTAACATTTAACATTTAGCATTTAACAATAGTTATACATTAAGTAATAAATTTGTACAGTAATTTTTCCGAAGGAAAAAAAAAACATAAATGTAAAATATTATTGAAGCAATAGCGTAACTCGTAAACAGATAACAGTTTGATGTCAGCCACATCGATTGCTATCGAATTGATATGCATTTGATGATCGTTTTATAGAGGAAATTTTTTTTTTTTTTTTGCATTCTGATCAATAAATATTGGAAATTGTTGGTTTTATTTTATGAATTGAAATGTCAGACATATTAGAAGTTGAAATATCAGAAAGAAAGAAAGCGATAAACTTTAAAAATGGATTTCTAAAAAGTTTTTCACCCCTGAATTGAAAGCAAAATTGCCTATTCACTTGGATTGCAATTTTAATGAGAATAAATATATTTGATTTCATCATTATTATTAATTTCATCTTGCCTAAACAACTACATATCATATTAGCAGTAATTTTTAAGCTATGAAACTATTTCATAGTCCATTAAGAATAGCAATAAAATATATTGGATGATTAAATTGATAAACTATTCACTTGCATTAAATATATCATTTCAAATGAAAGTTGTTTGATATGTCAAAGTAATGTTTCTATGTTTAAACCAAGCATATATTAGTATGATTTGATTGAAATCTAATGGGTGACAATCGAGAAAAACTCTCGTTACTAAATTATAATGTTGAATTATGGGAGGAAATCTTGGAGAGAATATTTTTCTGCAATATTGCTGACAAAACTTGACTTTTAAGATATTTTTCAAATATTTTCATTTATTTTTATTTCTGATCGATCGCATTTTAGCGCTGTTAATTGAATTTATCACATTTTTAACAATGAATACGCCTTTTTTTTCCATTTTACTTGAGCATAAAGATGTATAGCATTTTGAGCGAATGTTATGTGTTGAGAATTGCCTTAGAATTAAATTAATCCTAAATATTGTTTCCAATAACAGTCAGTCTCATAAATATAGTTATCAAATCAAATGCACTTTTCTTTCAAATAAAGAAATTCTCGAGCTTCTTTAAACTTAGTCAATTATTTTAAAGTCTCAATTAATTAATGATGTGACTTTGAAAAAGTAGCAATTGGCAATAATATATCATTTTTTTTTATCGCTTCATTTTTCATGTATTAATTAATCATTATTCATATGTGTTCGTTATCTTTATATTATCTGTAAAAATTGTTTGAAATAGTTTAAAATATTTTTCAGATAATTCAAGCAAATTATAAAGGTGCATTTTTTTAAACACTATTTGATCAACTATCGCGAATAAAAAGTTGATAGTCATATTAATTTAATAATTTTGAAGAAACGAGCTGATAAACACCTGCGTTGTTTAATTTTCATTCTAATTGCTTAGAATTTAAGTCTAACAAAGTTATGAATATATCAGTTTCATAACCTTTTCCTCATATCACCTGCTTTCTTCATTAAAAATTTTCATTTTGTCATTTTTTTTTCCTTTTTCTATCATTCTAAATTATCCTATATTGATGGAAAACCGAAGAAATCTTTATTGCACATTAAAAGGTTTAGATAAAGGATTCATGTTTCAAAAATGGTAAATAGCAAAGAAATAAAGAATTAATTCCTAGTAATGAATTATTAGAAATATTCTAAACATGAAATGTGTAATAAATATTTTTTCATACATTACCTACTCTACCTATATTAAGTGTCTGATAGCTGTACTACTATTTGTTCGAAGGAAAATTGCAAGAAAAAGCTTGCCTGATAGTTGTACTACTAAAATTTAACAAAATAATTTAACATAAAAATCAAACAGCTCAGACATCAAGTTTTTGTACAGAGGTAAATTTAGCTTCAAAATTCTTCAGAGAGAAAAGAAAAAGACAATAAAATTTGAACACCTATCATATCTCTGATAACAGTAACTACCATTTATGGTTTCTTTCTCTGTTGAGAGATTTTATAACTACACAAGACCAGAAAATCCGATACATACCTAAATTTGCTGTTTTGTAGGAACTATGTAAATGGGTTTCCGTCTACTATTGATTCGTTTTCAATACGCACCGGGATCGTAAGACAAATCGTAAGACGTGTGACAATCAATTTCCATTGAACATCGTAATTCCTGAAATGATTGAGATACAATTAAAAAATTATTTAGGAAAACAATCACTTAGAATTTCGTTACTTATAAATTACTTAGAAAAGTTATCTTCCCGAGTTGCTCTATTTAAATAAAAAACAAAATAATTTAAGAATTTTTAAAGTCAGTATTTTTATGGACATTATGTAAGCATTTTCAATTCTTTTAATAAATTGAATGATGTATAGTACTTCAGATTCAGGTTTCAATATCCGATCTACTTTTCAAATATCTTCATTTTTATCTCCTTTCGAATTTTAATGTTGTTAATTACAATTATCACATTTTTTAACAATGAATAAATTAAATAGATGTGCTTTTTTTTTTCCATTAAAATGAATATCTTCCGGTTTTTGGAAAAACAAAAAACTAATTTTTGGTACATTATACTTAAATATGAAATATGATGAATTGGAAAAACGAATCGGAAAAATCTGATATAAATGAATCAAACTTCCATTATATTGATATTATTGTCAACTAATGTGTTATCGATTTAGTAGAACTGAGAGAGTTAATGATACTTTTTCCTTCATCCGAAGCAGTAAGTAGTGAAATGTTTATCGATTAAACATTCCTAAAATAAGTTTTCCAATTAATCTTTATGTATCATCATGTCTGATAAACCTCGATAACAACATGACAACATACAACAAAACACGTTAAAGTTACCAATCATATGGTAAGTGATCTATCGATCATTTTTTCATTTTCAAAATATTCCGCTTCTGCGCATTCAACTCATTTAACAAAAATATTCTCATCAGTATGCAATCACAAGTACCAAAATTTGAATGATATAAAATATCTATTCCAGAAATAAATTTTAGGAAATAATTTTTTCTGACAAAAAATTTTTCTCACATTACAGTTATCTCTTTAATAAGAATTTCAGTTAATGTTAGTACATAATTGTTCTTACACGGAATGTACAGAATGCTTAAGTATATCAGCGATCTACTTGTTTTCCTTTTTTATGAGTTATCTTTCAGAAAACTATCCTTTCTCTTGCTGATATTTTCAAGGGAATACGGAAATTGCTTATAACCTTTCATCAAAGCCTCATTTCATTCAGACTCCGAAATCGCAATTTCAGCCTCGCAGCATCAAAATCGGCTTTTTCTCTTCTCTGAAAAACAAGCTCCGAAATTTTCAGATATCATCTTAAAAGTCATTGTTTAGATTGAATTACAACGATAATAACCTCAAGTTATTAAGCAGTGATTTACAGTAATCATAGGAGTGAGCACTTAATTTAGTAATATTTAAAATTAAAATATTAACTAAAATTGAAGCTCTTTCTATTAATTTCAAAATTCAGAACAAGGAGAAAGATTATTCACTGATAACATGATTGTTCGTTATTACTGCATTGTTGCATTATTTCTAATATCACCTCTAAACTGCCATGAAGGAAATACGACAAATGTATTTGACATAAGAGACGAACAGCATATAATTATAAAATATGCAGTAGCTACGGTGATTTTTTTCTCCGTGACATACGGTATTATTAGCAATTTTTTAATGGCTACCGTATGCTACAGTCGGGACAATCTTTACAGTCGTCCATTTATCCTTATTGTATCTCAAATTATTATTTCTAATTTGGTAAGCCTTATTCCATATGTGATTATTCTGTTGCCTGGAATATTACTGAGTAAAAAGTATGGTAAGTTAATTTATTTTTATAATTATTTATTGATATGATTTAAAAGAATGAAAGAATAACCTATTATTGATGAGTAAAACGGTATCATTTAACTGATAATATTTGAGATTTTTCAATTACATCTAAACATGTTAAATTTGTTTTGATAAACTATTTTTTTTAATGTCTTAGCCCAAAAAATGGCGCAGATGATTGATGCATTCTGCAAGATCCGTGCATATTCAACTATCGCTATGGTATATTTTTCATTTTTGTTGACGCTGAATCGCTTCATAGTCATAATTTTACCAAAGTACAATGTACTTTTCCAGTCAATAAAGCTGTATGTATTACTTCTTCTCATGTGGTTGATATCTTTTGGTATGATATATTAAATTTTACACAATATTTTAAATGATTATTCCACTCATAGGTAGTTTATTGTTCGATCTTGACAACTATCGTCTTTGTCGCCATTTTGTTATTTTTGGAATAACATTTTTAATTCAACATTCTACTCCGATTTTATTACTGCAATTATAAATACAATTATAAATTTATTTCTGTTATTGAGTTTTAATTTTCAGCAACTTCATTTGCTGATTTTCATCTCTATACAAGAAATTTCCAAATTTCCACCTTGCAGTGCTTTCAAGATTACACAAAACATCCTGGCGGAAAACTTTTTAATAAGTTAGATTTAAGCACTGTTTTAGTTTTTTTTTGCAGCAAAAAATTTCAGAATTCAATTATAATTTTACGAAGCATTAAAACTTCATACTACTCCAAACAATAAAGTGATGTTTCAAATTTTTCCTATGACTGTAACAAGAAATCAAAATACCACAGTCATTTCAATTTCCTCTATAATTAATTAAAATCCATTAATTAGTTCTCATCAGTTTTCAGTTTTCTTATTTTTTTGGGGCTATTTCTATCCATTGCGATGATTATAATGTACTCAGCAATTACTTGCAATATACGCCGTCGTTTTATATCAGTTAATCATGAAACACGAAGTTGGTGATAACAATGATCGCTTTTTTCTTCTCTTATAACCAAAATATAATCTTAAGTTTCTTAATATTCCTGCTATATTGGAAACAGTTTTTGAATATCCTCAAAAATTTTTCAAACTTTACTTTTCTATCTTACTTCATAGTTCATTTTAAATTAAATATGAACTTTTAGAAACATTTGCGATAAAAACGGGACCTAAAACATATACTTTGAGAACTGCGAAATACGAACGATCAATGCTAATTCAAGCAGGATTAACTTCTGGCGGATTAATACTTGGAATTCTGATATTCAACCTCTTGCCATTGACAAAAATTTTCGATCAAAAAGGCTTAGCTGCAATGAACATTTTCCATTGCTTCTATATCATCTCTTATCGTTGTGCATTGCCAACAGTATTTTTCTTAACCAACGAACGTGCTCGTAAATTTTGAATACTAATGTAGTAAAATCTATCCAAATTCTTACCAAACAAGTTACCAGGTAAAGATATTTCACGTAAACCTAATTTAAAGCGTAACGTCTCTTAATATGTTTCAAATATCACTGATAATTCTTTCCAAATGTTAGATGCATCAATACATGGTCCTTTGAGTATTATCATAGCAATGTAATAAAATTTGTATCATTAGTCTTGTTTCAAATTTATTTGCAATTAATGGCAATTGGTTAAACTGACAATTCCCATGAAATTTTGAAGCAATAAGCAATGTTTTAAGGCAATTTTATTATCATTCGAAGATTTTTCCATTGTTGTCGAATTCAGTGCTTTTTTGACACAATCAATTATCGTAGATTTTTTCTATTAATTGAAATATTAATTGAAAGGTTAACTTCGAATCGAAGATAATAGAAACTGGATTTGTGTGACAAATCTAAAATAGACTTATAAATTTACCATATGACATACGGATCTCATAAGTGATAGGCAATTATAATTTCTAACTTTTTTAGAATAGTGAAATCATTACATATGAGCGTATGGAATTTAAAATGGAAAAAACTGATTTGCACATTAATAACAAAATGGTGCTGAATCTGTTCATTTTCGATGTTTATTATCATATTGTCCACTTTAATCATCGAAATAGAAAGTATATAAATGAAATAATTTTGTGAAGCTAATTTGAATCAAAATTGTTTACGATTTACTGCAATCATTAAAAATAATCTGCAAACTGCTCATTTCATTGTCAGTCTGATTTTATATATTTCTGACTTTTGTTGAATATATAAAAAATTCAGATCAAATTGATCCTCTTTGTGTTCTCTCTGTATGAATTATATTGAACAATAGCAATATATTAGCGATAAATTTATGCAATACGATAAGTTGCAGTTTCTTTATTAAAAATTCTTGGCAGATTACTTTTAATGTTTGCTAGACGAAAAATATTTAGCAAAATTACTAAACAATGTACAGTTTGCTTTTTGTTAACTTCATTATTTATAAAACAAGTTAAAAATTTTGTTTATTTTTTGAATAAAATTTCAAAAATCATAAAAATGTGACATTTGATTTAACTTTTAGTAGAAATGTTTTCTTTCACCAATGAAAGAGCAATTGCTGGAAGTAATAAATAATATGAATAGATTAATTTCGGGTTATAAAAAAGTTGGATATAAATATTAGTATTGATTATAGGATTGATATGAAACTTTTATTAGAAGTACAGTTTGTACAATTAATAATTCTTATTCAGGCTTTTCACAAATACATACGACGAATTGCAAGAAAACAGGTATGATTTTTGAGAAGATATTAGAGATTAGTTGATTTAGATAATGTTTCCATTATATTTTGAATACTTCATTTATTCAGAAGAAAAAGTATAACTAATGATATACTCCAGCACTGTTGATACCTCAAGTACCATATATTAAAATTGAATAAGTAAATCGGAAAAATGAAATTCAGTGTAACATAGCAATCAACCGAAATCGTTTAGTATTAAATAACTCGTGTATAAAGGCTTTTGTAATTTCATTATGCAAATGCATAGAGGTTAAATTAATATTCATTTGATTATAACAGTTTTTGTTTTCCCCAGAAAAAAATTTCCTTACTTATCAATCATCAATAAATTATTCAAATTCAGTCAACAGCAATTCTGAAAATTTGAAATACTTCTCTTTTCATATGTCTTTGCGTAATTTTCAGCCCACCTGAAATTACTACAAGTTTTCTGGTTTTGTATATAGTTAGTCGATTATTTTCGACGCTCATCCCATTTGTTCAATGTAAAGAATAAACAAACGAAGAAGCAAAAAAAAGTTTTATTGAAAAAATGAAATTGGACGCATAATTTGCAATATTTGTGAATATGAAAAAAGATTGCTTAATAAGAAAGAAATCATTAAATATTACAAAGTAAGTGTAAATTGGAATAAAACATAAAAGAGATAAACACAGAAAGGAATAATTAAGAAAGAAGGATGTAATGATTGAATATTTTAGTTTTAAATTAAAAATAATAAAATACAAAAATAAGCATAAATTAAATAAACGATGTAGGACCTAATGATTTTAATTTTTTTTTAGTTTTATATATATATACAAAAACTCTTACAAATTGCAGGACTAGTTTAATACACAAAAACTCTTAAAAATTAAAGAATTTTCACAAAAATCAATATTTGAACTTTAAATGAAAAATAATTTTAGTGATAAAAATGAATTAAAGCTATGACAAATTAAAAGTTTTATTAATTTCGCTACTGAAATAGTGTTCAAAACAATGAAAGCATTTTATTGTTTGTCAAGTGACTTACATGTATGTGAGCAGTTCCCGCACTATGCATATAAAATAATCAACTAAATTCCAATTATCTACTTTCTTAAAATGAATTGCTATTTCTCAATAGTTTTTACACTTAACTTAATTAAAATGAAATTTGATAACACAAGGATTCATTTCCTAGTCAAATCGCATGATTTTCTTAAAAGTCGATATTTAAGTTCGAAATAAAAATTAATTTCAATTGCAACGATGATTTAAAACTATTAAAAATTAAAAAAAAATTTTTTAAAAGAATGGTTAATTAAAAATTTTATTAATTTTGCTACTGAAATTTTGTTCAAAATTTAATTATTAATGTTCTTTTTATTATTTAAACTATCAAATGATCTAAACTACATGATATACATAGAAAATACCGTGATTTATCAATTTACATAAACTGAAATGAAATTTTTTTATTGACTTAGTAAATATAATAAAAGACTTAGTAAACAGAAAAAAAAAATAAAAGTAAATGAACTATCACCGATCATTTTTTCACTTTCAAAATATTCTGCTTCTGCGCATTCATTCATCTCATTTCACAGAAATTTTCTCATCAGTATGTAAACATAATCAGTTCTTGTTACAGCGCGCTTCAAATAAAATGCATTAAAATTTGAGTGATATAAGATATCGAAATCGAATTTCAGAAATAAATTATGGGAAAACAAATTATTTTTAATGATAGATTTTTCTCACATTGCATTTATCTGCTTAATAAAAATTTTAGTTAACATTAGTACTGAATGTTCTCACACGGAACGCTTAAGTATATCAACGATACTATTTGTTTTTCTTTTTTCCATTAGTTTATTCACGGTGATTTTCAGAATTTACCTTTTCTCTTGCTGATAATTTGAAGTAAATACAGAAACTGTTTATAACCTTTCAGTAAAACTTTATTTCATTCAGTCTTACAACATCAAAATCGGCTTTTTCTCTATTTTGAAAAATAAACCCTGAAAAATAATCTTTAGATATCATATCTTCTCTAAAGTCAATGTCCAGATCCAGTTGCGACCGTAATCATCTCAAATTAATAAGTAGTGATTTACAGCAACCATAAAAATGAGTACTTAATTTAGTAGACAAACTTTTGCATTTAATTATATTATTTATAGCAGCTTTTATATAATTTGCAATAAAACATTCCTGTTCGTTTCCATTTAGTAATTTCAAATTATAATTTATGATAATTTAAAATGTTTGGATTTCGATATTTAAAATATTAACTGAAATTAAAGCTTTCTATTAAATCCCAAATTCAGAACAACGAGAAAGATTATTCACTGATAACATGATTGTTCGTTATTACTGCATTGTTGCATTATTTCTAATATCACCTCTAAACTGCCATGAAGGAAATACGACAAATGTATTTGACATAAGAGACGAACAGCATATAATTATAAAATATACAGTAGTTGCGATCACTCTTTTTTTCATGCTATACGGTATTGTTAGCAACATTCTAATGATTACCGTATGCTACAGTCGGAACAATCTTTACAGTCGTCCATTTATCCTTATTGTATCCCAAATTATTATTTCTAATTTAGTGAGCTTTATTCCATATGTGATTATTCTGTTGCCTGGAATATTATTGAATAAAAAATATGGTAAGTAGACTTTTTTATTATTATTTATAGGCAAAATTTAAAAAAATAAAAGATTAGCCTATTATTGATAAATAAAATAGTATCACCTGACTGATAATATTATTTGGGAATTTATTTGAAAAATTACATTAAAGTTTTAAATTTGCTTTCATAAACTATTTTGTCTAATTTCATAGCCTACAAAATGGCGTGGATGAACGACGTATTCTGCAAGGTCCGTACATATTCATTTATCACTATGGTATATTTTTCATTTTTGTTGACGCTGAATCGCTTCATAGTCATAATTTTACCAAAGTACAATGTACTTTTCCAGTCAATAAAGCTGTATGTATTACTTCTTCTCATGTGGTTGATATCTTTTGGTATGATATATTAAATTTTGCGCAATCTTTTAAATGATTGTTTCAATCATAAATAAATTATGAAGACCGACAATTGTTCAGTATTGGCAACTATCATCTCTGTCGCCATTTTGTCACTTTTTGGAATGATATTTTAATCTGACATGCCGCTCCTACTTTACTACTGCAATTATAAATACATTATAAATTCTATGATTGTTACTGAGTTCTAATTTCCAGCAACTTCATTTGTTGATTTTTATCTCTGTTCAAGAAATTTCCAAGTTTCTACCTTGCACTGTTTGGAAGATTGCACAAAAAAGTCTGGCGGAATACTTTTCAATCGGTTAGATTTAACAATATTCAATTATTATTACAATCTATAGTTTATTTGTTCATACTAATTCAGGCAACAAATTGATAACATCTATTTTGCTGTTTTCCTATTATTGTAACTATAACAAGGAATCAAAAAAAAAAAAAAAATAACACTGTCATTTCAATTTTATAACGATGTGCCTAAGATTAATTAAAATCTATCAATTAGTTCTGATCACTTTTCAGTTTTCTTATTATTTTATGGCTATCTTTATCTACTGCAATGATTTTAATATACTTAGCAATCATTTGCAATATACGCCGTCGTTTTATATCAGTTAATAATGAAACACGAAGTTGGTGATAGGAATGATCATTTTTTTTCATCTTTTATTACAAAAATGGCAGTTTAAGACTTTGCATTTTCATATCATATTGAAAACTCAAAAAATTTCCAAAATTTACATTTCTTTTATAATTAACTTCATTGTTCATTTCGAATTTAATATGAAACTTTAGAAACATTTACGATTAAAACAGAACATAATAGAAGTACATTGGGAAGTGCCAAGTACGAGCGATCAATGTTAATACAAGCAGCTTTAACTTCTGGCGGATTAACAATTGGCATCCTGATAATCAGCTTGTTATCAACGGTTGTGATAAAGGTTTTCGGTCAAGATGGCTTAATTGTAATGAACATTTTTAACTTGTTTTACATCATCTTTTATCGTTGTACACTACCAACAGCTTTTTTCTTAACCAATCAACATGCTCGTAACTATATATGCTTACATTTAAGAACTGATGTCGTAAAACCTATCTTAATTCTTCCAAAACAAATTACGAGATAAAGATATTCAATATAAACTTAATTTAAAGCATATCGTTTATTGATATGTTTCAAATAGTTATATCGAAATACACTTTTTTGATTATGTTTGGTTGAAGCTGTTCTTGGATTATTTCACTGCGTTGACTAAGTAGCTCAGAATGGTTTGAAATTGTTTGATTTATTATTTTAATCGAGGAAATAAAGGCCATGATTCTCGTTTAATTTAACCTTTGACTCTTTCCATGGCCGACAGATTTTATAACTCTTTGCTTTTTAAAGATATTTTGTTTTAATTGACTCAAAAGTGTCTTGTTATCATGAGCATTAGATTGTTTTTAAATCCTATCAATTCTAATCCTATTTCGATATAATTATTTGAAACATATCAATAAACGATATGCTTTAAATTAAGTTTATATAGAATCAGTTCTAATTTTAAGAACTGATTCGTATCTGGAATAGTTTCCGGCATTAGTGACACCGATGTGATCTACGGATATTGCATTATGACCATCACCTATATATCTCGTCCTAACTGCCATTGGTCTAATCTTTGATTGTACTATAAGAATTCAACTTTCAAAATTTCAATTCTATTTGATTGGCTCCAATGAGGAGGTCTGGTTGCCTCCATTAGCTCTTTCTATTTTTATTCCTAATTTTGCTTTAATTCTAGTTTTTTTGGAATTCTAGTTTTCTTTTTTTGTTGCTAGTTTTAAGACATGTTTTTCTTATCTTATTACCAAACAGAACGATTTTTAGATTTTTTTGAAAAAACGATTTTCTAGCTTCTTCTCTTTGGTTTTGATCAGTTGGCAAGTCCATTTGGTATGAAGGATAGCTAAACCGGTGTCGAATAGTGTATAATAGCATGAAAATTTTTTTTTGCATGAAAAGATGATTTTCTTACCATGTTTTAATCCTTTTTCGGTTATCGAAATTGTTATTGTAGTAAAATCCTTTTTCCATATTTGAAATTGCAAGTTGGACTATTTTTTTTTTTTTTTTTGATCTTGTAAGCGGTTTTAGACGTGATAGCACAAGTATTTCTCCCTGGTTCTAGTGGAATATGAAGCTAGTTTGTTTTAGGTTCTGTTAGTTATAACGAAGCAATTATGACTATATTCAAAAAAATTGAAAACATAAAGAAAAAACGCCCCAATAAAAGTGCACAACAGCAAATCTCATATCTATTCTCATACCTAGCTACATTTAAACACAAATAGAGAAAAAAAGAAAACAATAGATATAAAAAATAGATATACCATCAGTTCCTAAATTCTTCGTTTCGCTCAACTGGCAACCACTTGCCACCGTAACCACTTCCCATTGTAATCGCTTACAACCGCCCGTTACTGTAGTCACCTGCACTTGCTTGCTATCGTAACGACTTGCGGCTATTACTGTAGACAGTTGCTGTCGCAACTACTTGCAGCCACCTGTTACTGTAAGCACCCACAAGCACTTACAACTCCAACCATTTGCATCCACCTGTAATACAAATGAGTGGCAGGTGGTTGCAGTAATTTGTAACAAGTGGTTATGGTAAGACGAGCTTGCAGGTGATTACAGTAACGAGTGATCATAAGCTGTTACAGTAACAGCTGGAAACAGTAACCCTTGGCTATAAGTGATCACAAATAGTTACGCAAGTGGCTGCAAATAGTTATGTGGTAAGTGGTTACAGTAGCAGTAGGGAGCAGCAGCAAATAGTAGAAGGTCGTAATAAGTAGTAGCAAGTGGTGGGAAATAGGGTAGGTGTGATAACAAGTGGTTTAACAATTTTATCAATTTTATGTTTGTTGACATTAGTCATGCTTTGGTGTAAATGTATTTTTTAACTTTGGTTCCCTTTGTTTGTACTCCTTGCATTTAGAGTTTATAGATTGGAATGATTTAATATCAGAAAACATTATAAACTTGCTAAGTATGTTTTCGTAATCATCTGTATTGATGTTCACGTAATGTTATGTCTATTCGTCATTTTTTTTCGATACTACATTTCATCAAAATTGCATGCAATGATGAGGTCAGCATGCACTAAGTAACAGTAACAGAAAAAAACATGCAAATTAGTGGAGTTAGCAAAAAGGTATGCATGAAGTTAAAATAATGTAATACATAAATAACAAAAAAACATGAAGAACCAAAACGACCAAAAATGTCACATATTGAACAGAAGGAATAAAAACGTAGGCTATGAGAAAAAATTGAGGCTTTTGAAAATGGAGGATATAAAAAATATTTTTAAGAAGAAAAGAATAAAGTAAAATAAAAAGAGAAAAGAAAAGAAAGGAATGAAAAAGTGATAAGAAATAATACTTTAAGAGAAATTTCAACAAAATGATAAATAAAATAGACAAAATGCAAAATCGTGTGAAAATAAAATCGAAGATATTGGCAGTGTATTGTACAAAAAAAAGTATTCAAAGAAATCAGGATAAAAAAACTTCAAATATATGTTGAGCATAAATAAAAATAAGCCTACTATAGATTGCTACTTAATTACTAATGCAAAAAACAAAAAGAAAAAAGAAAGTGGTTGTAATAGCAGGTAACAAGTTGTTGTAGTAACAGGTGATTGCAAGTGTTTGCAAATAACAGGAAGTAGCAGTAAAATTGGTAGAAAATAGTTTATTTCAAATGAAGTATTTTTATCAGTTTTATGTTTTTTTTTTTTTTGTGTTTTAATGTATTTTTTTTTTAAATTTTGGTTTCCTTTGTTCTCATCACTTGCTGCTATTTGCATTCAGATTCATTAGATTTGAAACATTCAATATTAGAAAAGTCTTATAAGCATCCTTGCTAAACGATTTTGCATTAGTTTTTGATGTCTAACTACCAATATTTTTAGTACTAAATGACACCAAAAATGCACTCAATGAATGAGATTGGTGACAGAATAAAAAAAAATGCAATTAATGCAGTAAAAAAGTGCAGACTGTGAGAAAAAATTGAACATTAGCAAGAAAACAAGCTTTAAAAAATTTAAAAAAAAAAGAGAAGAAAAAATGAAAAGAAATAATATTTAGGGAAAAGTTTCGAGAATTAAGATTTAATGAACATAATGCATAAAATAAGCGAAGCTTTCGTAAAATAAAATAATAATATAATATAATAAATGCAAGCAAAAAAAATTTTTTTTCAAAAAAAACATGCAAAATTGAAATTAGCGATAAAAAAAAAAAAGAAAAGATGAATTGCTAAATAAAGAAGCTAATTTAATAGAAAAATAGGAAAAAAGTCGAGTTACCTACTACAAAAAAGAAAGTAAATTTAAAAAAATTTTTTTTTGTAAATTTTTCAAAAACAAAATCTTCAAAGAAATTAGGACAAGAAACTTCAAACCATAAATTAACCATAGGTTAAAAATAAATCCATTGCAGATAAAACCCTTTGTTCTACTGCAAAAAAAAAAAAAAAACAATAAAAAGAAAAGATGAAAAACAAAATTGTAAACAAACGACAACTATAATTAACATAAATAAAATAAGAAAGTAAGCCATAAGAATTAAAGTTTAATATGTAAAAGATAAAAATGTCGGTGCTTAAGTTAGTGAACACCGAAACATGCAAAAGCAGTAATACCGCCTGTGAGTGGTCTCACAATAAGTAGAACAAAGGAATTTTCAAGAATTTATTGATGGCATTAAAGTTGCCATAATATTTCGAGTGATAGCCAATGACCACTCCTTTACTTTTCTGATTAAAGTAAAAGTCGCATTTTTTTTTTTTTTTTTATTTTCTATAATTTCATTACTTTTGCTGTGATCCTAATAACACAATGCATATGTTGACAGTATGAAATTTAACGAATAAATTTTGCAAAACTACGACTGCTTTTAATATTATTTCAATTTAATTATTGTTTGCATTTACCATATCAAACAGATGTTTATGATATTTTTTTTCTAATAACTGGTAGTAGTAAGGAATTATTTCTGTACCCATTGTAATTTCTAACTTTTTGAGAATAGTGAAATTAATTTTATTTTATACTTTCGTGTCGTTGCTGATTGATTCGTTTTTATCGTTGCTAATTTAATTTTTGCTAATTATTTATTCCCTTGTTTTTTCTATTGTCTGTGTATTTTTGTTATTAATTTTAATTATTTTTCTTTTTATTAATTTTGTTTATGCAGCAGTTTTCTATGCTTTTTGATATGATTTTTAGTTTTTGATAGCATTTCATTTGTTATCATCTTGTGCCAACCATTAAGTTTGTGTTCATTAACTAATTTTGTGTAAATTACTTTTAACTAATTTAAATTTGAATATTAAATTTCCACAACGTTATTACTTTCACTGACGAAATATGTGAAAGCAGTTGCAAAGGAGAAAAGAAAACGCAGAAAGAACTGTACCTCACAATACCGCCTATTTGCCTTTCCCACGTTGTCTTTTCCGAGGGTAGTAAAGCTCTTTTCAAATGTTTGTTTGAAGTCAAGTTGAAATACCAGCAAATGGACTTTTTGCATTTTTGAATCTTAACATCGAATAAAATGATTTGAAGTATTATTCGATCGATAGTTAAAAAATTAGGGTAAATTTTAATTTTTTACTTTTTAGTAAATTTTTTTTTTTTCTGCTTGCTATATTTGCTGCTAAATATTTAGTGAAAGCTTTAGGAAGTAAATGAATTTCACCAATTTTGGATACGTTTTGCTCTTTATTACTGCTAAGTTTGCATGTGTACATGTCGATTAGGAAATGTAATTAGTAGAAATAGTATATCGATTAGAAAGTGTAATTAGTAGAAATAGTATATCGATTAGAAAGTGTAATTAGTAGAAATAGTATATCGATTAGAAAGTGTAATTAGTAGAAATAGTATATCGATTAGAAAGTGTAATTAGTAGAAATAGTATATCGATTAGAAAGTGTAATTAGTAGAAATAGTATATCGATTAGAAAGTGTAATTAGTAGAAATAGTATATCGATTAGAAAGTGTAATTAGTAGAAATAGTATATCGATTAGAAAGTGTAATTAGTAGAAATAGTATATCGATTAGAAAGTG